CCCCCCCCCAAAAAAAAAAAAACCACATACACACATACACAAAAAAAAAAATCACAAACACAATAAAAAGGGCTTTCTTCATTTTTCCATTTTTCGCCCGCGGCCCAAATAATTAAAGCTGGTAGCTCAAATATACAAAACGTATACACTGATTATGTATATTATATATTTATTTATGCATATTATAGGTATATTTATACTTAATATACAAAACATATATATTTGCTGGATATTATTTTTTGGCGAGGCCCAAAAATGTAATTATCCCAATAAAAACACTACGTTATAAAATGCTCCAGTAAACAGCATCAAATGAAAACACTGAACCTCCACTGCTCACACTTCTCATCTGCTAAACTACCCATACTGCCCTAATAATTTATGTTGCTCGGACCTTCCAAAAATGCTGCCGCACCTATGTCGGATCCTCAAAATATGCACTAGTTTTGCAAGAACCGACGCGTAGCCTGTGGTATTTTTGAAGAGTGCGAGCAACATAGCTAATAATCCAACACAAACATATGCATGTTTTTACAATTGCATAATAGTGTATTTTTTTAATGAATAAAAGAAGAAATCTTTTAATCTAATTATCTAACAGAAGATTCACACGGTTTTCAACAATCAAGCCAAAATCATATTACATCAGCTATGGACTGCCTTTAACTCAATTTGTTTAAGATATTTTTAACATATTTTAACATATGAGTGGTTTTACAATTACACTGATTTGATTATTTCATTTGCGGAAATTAACAGGCAACTGCGGAAACAACAAGATAAAGGCAATATAATAAGCAAATATCTTACCCATGCAACCAGATTGTGCTCTCCTCCAGTTTTTGAACTTTCAATTGCTTTCCTGCCAGTTATGATCTCCAAGAGGACAACCCCAAAGCTATAAACATCCGACTTTAAAGTCAACTGACCAGTCATAGCATACTCCGGAGCGCAGTACCCATAAGTACCCATAACTCTTGTCGAGACATGGGTGTTATCTCCAACGGGCCCCAACTTGGCCAATCCGAAGTCGGATAGCTTTGGATGATACCCCTCACCAAGCAAAATATTAGAGCATTTTAAATCGCGGTATATTACGGGCGGGCTTGCCTTGTCATGTAAATATTCCAAGCCCTTTGCTGCTCCAGCTGCAATTTTCATTCTCGTGTTCCAATCGAGCACTTTCTTAGCGGGCGTAACATCTGCATAACACTTAAATTTAAATCCAAACTTCATACGAAAAAATATAGACAGGAGGAAAGCGGTGATCGACTAAAAGAGATATTACCATGAAGATGGTCATCCAATGATCCTAGTGGCATATATTCGTAAACCAGAAGTCTCTGATCTCCATCAGCACAATAGCCAATTAAATTTACCAGGTTAGGATGGTGTAACAAACTTAGCATCAGCACTTCAACAAGAAATTCCCTGTTTCCTTGCAATCCATTACGATCGAGTTGCTTGATGGCAACAATCTATAGCAAATAAATGAGAGAAGGTGTCAAAGCATAGCTCCAGCACATATCTTATATGTCCATAGCAATATCATAAAGCATGGTCCCAATGATAAAATTGAACAGTAGCAATAGTGATAACAATAAAAATATTACTCCCTCCGTTCCAGTTTATGTGAACCTTTTCAGAGTACGAGAGTCAAAGTAACTAATTTTCATTGTGAAATTCGAACATAGATTTTTAATTTTTTAAAATAAAATTTATATAATAGAAACTGCATAAAAAGTACTATAAGTCACAATAACTAACAATTTAAAATAATTAAAAAATTATTTTCAAAAAAACATGGTCAAAAGAAAACTTTGTTTGACTCCCCATATAGTAATAGATTCACAAAAAGTGGAAAAGAGGGAGTATTATAATAAATAAAAAAAGGAAGTGATAAACGACCAAGGTCAATTCAATTTTTTCATAAAGAAGAAAAATTTGAACCCAATACATACCCAATCTAATCAACGTAAAAAAAGCAGAATCTAAAACAATGCATCAGAGGACATAAAGCTCATATTCTGCAGTCTAATAAGGGAAACCGAAGCATTTTCTCAAAGAATAATGCATGTTTCCTAGACTTTATTATTGCTAACAGAACAGGAATGACTTTTTTTCATTTTTGCCCTGTTTGTGACAAAGGATCAAGTGATAAACATAGTGTCTGACTTATCACAACTGATATTCAAGAACGAAGCTAGTCCCTGTCCATAAATAAGCAGACTACTTATAGCATTATGAAATAACATGAGCCCATCAAATACAATGCAAGTGTCCAAGCTTGGCACAGTTAAAGCAAGAACAAAGGAAATAAAATAGTGAAAACGATTCTAATTTCTCTCAGGAACACTATGCGAGAGAACACTGTGCGACAAAATAGTGAGTTCAACCAAAATCTGGTGGATTGAGACACAACCAGAGTGTGGAGACAGAAAGCGGAACTCCATTTCATTGTTGAAAAGAGTTCCATCATTGAAAAAAAAGTAACAGAAGAAAACCTGATTGGAATCAAGCCGCCCTTTGTATACTCTTCCAAAACCTCCCTCTCCAAGAAGACAATCACCTCGAAAGTTTCTTGCCGCAGCTGCTAATTCACGAAATGTAAAAGTCTTGGCTGCAATTTGACTAGACTCTCCATCCTTAACATCCTCCTTTGAGCCTAACAGATTCTTTGCCTTCAACTTTTCTGAACACGAAACCACAAGAAAAAAATAAGAAAGGGAAAGAAAACATAGAACTGACACCAAACAATTAGGGTTCAAAACATCATATACAGCCAACTGCCTGATCTAGAAACCAGCCAAAGGATTTAGTCCAATCGTGGGAAATGCATGATACCAAACTTGATACAACCACTTGATATACTGGAAAATTGTGCAGCTTCAACAACTGAGTCTGTTTCCTACAAATTTTCTAACATGATAGTCATGCAAGAGACAGTAAAAACAGCATAGTTGGACTAGCTAACTCAGTAAACATCGCCAAGAATTCATTTATACAAGATCTTTATGCGACACTCATTATTATTTCCTATCATTGGGTACCTACATGTTGGGTTTGGGTCCATTTAGGAATGAAAATTGTCTAGAAGACGCCTGATGGTACATTGAAATGAAAAAAGAAAAGTTAAAATTTGCACAAGAAACTAACTTCCTGAAACTTGGATGGTAAAATAAAAAGTTGAAAATCTTGGATGTCCAATAGAAAGCCCCTCATTTTTCTTGAAGAAATATTTTGCACAGTTCACTAAAGTTTGAGAGCTCTTGTTTTCATTTTTAGTATATCTCTCTTTTTTTTTTACAGCTATAAACTCAACACTCGCATACAAGTCTAACACAAAATGTTTCTCTTGAAGTGAATCAAGTAAAAATGAAGTCAAACAACAACAATAAACCCAGTGAGAATCCCACAAGGAGTCCGTGGAGGGTAGGATGTACGCAGACCTTACCCTACCTTTGTGAAGGTAGAGAGGTTGTTCCGACAGACTCTGGCATAAAGAATATGAGGAAGAAGCAATAGCAGCAAGCAGTACCAACAAGCGAAAGAGACAATAATGTGTATAGAAGTAAGAAACAGAACAACCTATAGTCAAAAACTAAGCCTAAAGAAATGCAAAAGCAATCCCTTACCCAAACAATGGTAAATAGGTGATATCCAAGAATCAGAAGCAATAATATAAAACTGAAGCTCCAGATGAAGCTCAACAAACTGAAGCTCCAGATAAAACTTAAGACCAGAAATTTAACAAAAATTACAACAAACCCATTTCACATAATCATTAAAAGATGAAGCTCCAAACCATTTAAAAACAAGAAATTTGTCAAAAAATTACAACTAACCCATTTCACAGAGTCATTAAAAGTTGAAAACTTGAAGCTTCAAATCATTTAAAGACTAGCAATTTGGCAAAAATGAAACAAACCCATCTCAAAGAATCATTAAAAGTTGAAAACCTGAAGCCTGAAATAACATAAAGACTAGAAATTTGACAAAAATAAAACAAACCCATTTCACAGAATCATAAAAAGTTGAAAACTTGAATTCTCTACTTTTTGGTATACTTCTTGTATACGGGGGTTCTATCCCTTTTGATTAATACAATTTACCTTATCAAAAAAAAAGTTGAAAACTTGAAGCGCCAAATAACATAAAGACTAGAAATTTGACAAAAATAAAACAAACCCATTTCACAGAATCATTAAAAGTTGAGAACTTCAAGCTCTAAATAACGTAAAGACTAGAAATTTGACCAAAACAAAACAAACCCATTTCAGAGATTCGTTAAAAGTTGAAAACTTGAAGCTTCAAATTACATAAAAACTAGAAAATTGACAATAATACAACAAACCCATCTCAGAAAATTATTAAATTAGTCTACTTATATGATAAATATGCAGATTTATTAATTACCAGAACCAAGTTGGACCGAATTGGTCGAGTCTTTCTTCTTTTTCCTCTTCTTTGAGGTATGCTTTGATGATCCAGAACATGGAAACCAACCCATTTCTCCCTCTTTCTTCTACTTCTCTATGTGTATATATATATTCTGTAAAATGAAAATTGAAGAGTGGTTGCATACATACAGAGAGAAATAGCCTTTCACAGCTGACTGATAAAAGGGTGACGGGTTTTGGGTGACTGTAATAATTCATTAAATTGTTGAAATTTGCATATTTTTTTTGTTGTTAGCTGTCCTTTAGGCTCGTTCGGTATAAGTATAATAATTAATCTCGATATTAAATTTGAAATGAATAACTAATTTTGGAAATAGTTATCTCGAGATTATTGTATGTTAGGATAATTAATCACGAGATAATTAGGGTTCGTTTGGTACAAGGATAAGAGATAATTAATCTCGATATTAAATTTGATACGAGTTTATTCCTGATTTGGTTGGGATAAAATCGTTGTATAACTAATTTCAGGATTAGTTATCCCGGGATTATAGTGTGTTGGGATAACTAATCCTAGAATAACTAATCACGAGATAATTAATTATGGGATAACTTGATTCTCAATCAAACGACTCCTTAGTTTTTAGAAAATACTTTCTTCGTTCCGTAATAAGTGACCAATTTGTCCCGGGCACACCCATTAAGGAAATACTAAATTCTAGACAAAAATAATTAGTGTGACTAAACTACATTTAATTAAATATTGCATCATAGTTATAATAGCACTTACTTTTCTTCTTAAATGTGATGAATAAATGATTCTTTAGGGATACGTACATAAATGTAATTTTGAAAAAACAAATTAATTTTTTTCTTGATTATATAAATGGACACTTATTTTGGATCAAAATAAAAAGGTAAATTGGTCACTTATTATGGACAGGAGAGAATAATAAATAAAAGATGTAATTTATGAAGTTACCATATTAAAGTATGTTTTGAGAATTGAGCAGCTTTAAAAATAATTACTTCTACCAAATTTAATCTTATTTTGAGATAATTTTTAAAGCTAAAGCGATTAGGGGTGGGCATAATTTGGGGAACCCGGAATTCAAATCGAAATTCGAAATTTTTTGATTTTGGTTTGGGTTTTCGGATTACGAATTGGATTTCAAATTTAATTTTTGTTTTTTGAATTTTGGATTGATGTTGGATTTGATACTTCGGATTTTTGGATATCCGAAAATCTAAAATTTTATTTTATATTTCATTCATTATTCATATGCAAATAGTAATAAGTCTATCACCCAACCCGTTAGATATATCTCAAATATTCAATATTAGTAACTAAGTTACTATCAAAATACTTTCTATATGGACATGATTTTACTATTGCTAATTCTTATCAGCCTTATTTATGCCTCTATTACATTTTGTGATGATGATTTTATTACTTGAATACTTTATTTCGATAATTGTTATGAGAACGAGAAAAAATTTAGGCAATTTAATGTGAATACTTCATTTGGATGTTTATTTTTGTCAGAAGGATAAGCATCTTACTTCATCTGCTCAGAACCGAAAATTCGAAATATTCAAACTGATTAATATGAAACCGAACTTAAGAAATCCAATCCGATTCAAACTAACTTGAGAAATCCAATTCAATCCAACTGGATTGGTTTTGGATTGCTATTTCTTTAGTCGAGAAACTGAAAATCCAAACGAACTTTTTATAGGCAATCCGAACTGTCCGATCACCCAAGGTAAAAAAAAAAAAAAAAAAAAATCAAAGATATTGTTAATTTGGGATGGAGGGAGTAATTATTTGTTACTGCAAAAAAAATACTAACTATTTCTTGGTTGACTAATAGTTAAACAAACTACTTAATACATTTCTTTTTTCTCTTTTCTTCTTTTGGGCGGAGAATTTCAGAAATAGTAAGTATCCAAATCAGTAGTCTTTCTTTTCTTCCCTCTAAATTGTTTTAATTTTAAAAAATTCCAACTTTTGCAATATTGAATTATGGAATTGGACGTTTTACAATGGCAACATTTTGATTCTGGTGGTTCGATTCAAAAATTTTAATTTCGAAAATCCAAAGATATTCTGATAATAGTTTAGAAAACTCTTGATTTTAAACTCTTACCTTTGAATTAGTTCAGTTCACAAATACTAGATCAATTCATTTTATTAATTGAGCTAATTCAGTATATACAGATATTTATTTTGGTATATCAATACAAATAAGAATTTAGAAAAAGAAAACAGATAAAAATAGTTAGTATGTATACATGAATAATTTATGGGAAAAAAGAAAATGGATAAAATGGTTTTTAATATTCACATCAAATTTTAATTTCTTTATATTGATGTTAAAGTTGTAAGCATCAAAAGCTCTAATTCACCCAAAAAAAAAAAACATTGCAATTTAATTTAAGAATTCCCCACACCCTCGGGCCTCCCCCCTCACAATTACAGACAAACTCGTTAGTAACAGCTTTATTTGTTCTAATTTTTTTTTTATAATGAAATATTGTTATACACTATAACTGTATTTAATATTTAAATATTGTTTGAATGTTATAGATAAAACTATCCAAAAACTAATTTATTTCCTCTTCCATGTTACATATAAAAAGATAAAAAAAAAAAATTATCTTTGTTTGGTACAATGTTACCTTTGTTTTTAAAGTACTAGTTTGACGTTTAGACCATATGGCATGAATTATATTGATCAAGGAATCAATACGCTTCACATAAATAACTTTAATACACTACAAGAAATATTGAGTCCAGTTAAAAAAAACTTACACTTTAGTGAATATTATTCAAATATTAAACTTATACACAACAGATATTTTGTCCAATGGAATAAGGTACGTGCAAATCTTCAAATCATAAATATTATGCACGATTAAAACTTTGTCCATTGAAAAGAGTATGTGCAAGTCTTCAAATATTAGATATTATGCACGATAAAAAAAAATTGTGCAATGAAATGAAAATATACTAGCAGTTCTTTTTACAAAATTAAATAAAAAAAATTATTTATGAAAGTAAGTACCAAGTACCAACATAATATTTTTTATCATATGGTGTATTAAAGTTTCAAAATATTTGGTAAAAATCTTTGGACTTATTGTTAGCACTAGAGGGGTAATTTCACAAAGAGCATATTGTTATTGTATAGGGTAAAACGGTTCATAATAAATATTCGTATAATATAGCGATACGTGGAATCAGAGATAGACGGAAAGTGAGGCATGTGAAAACCAAGATCGAGGTCAACAGCTTCGGTTAGCACCGGAGAGTCCCCGAAGGGAAGATTGCTAATGAAGACAAACGAATGTGTGTCATCCGATAGCATTCAATGAAGAATATTCTGCAATATTAATATACAGTCCGTTATAGAGTATTATGGCATTCATAGCCTACCGTTACACATTCTTCAATAGCCCTCATAATTGTCATTTAAGATGAACTTGATCCTAGGACTTTATTCCCTAGGTGTCACTATAAATAGGGATTTCAACAACCATTGTAAGGACACGAATTTTCTAACAAACCTATGGTACACATTATTCTAGGCTCAATAACACTTTATTTCTTGTTTATTGGTATTACTATTGCCTACGGAAGCTCTGTTCCCGGAACCAAGCTATCTGCTATCTTGTCTCGATTTTAATGCTAAGTCTTACATTTTTATTTAATTTATTTATTATTTTGGGATCAAATCGATTTTATTGTCTATAAACCACGTATAAATTCAATTGTACCGTTTTACGGGTAAACAGTTATAAAGATAGGTATTGTTGTTATAGGCAAAAATTATTATAGGAAGGTAATATATAATATAAAAAATCAATTCGAAAAAGGTTTATCTTTTATAGTGAAATGCTATCATATACGGATATTGTTACGGAGAAGTGGGACTGCATTAACTTTTATAAATCTATCATCTATTGACCTACTAGATTCAATTTTAAATACCTATGCAAATAAATTTGACAGCATGCTTCATATAAAAATCAAAAGAGGTTAAAATTTTCATTTTGATATTATCCGGTGGGCGGCTCAAAGCATAAATTATTTTACTCACAGACTCGAACTTGTCTTTCATAGATCTATCATTTATTGACCTAAAATAAAATAAAACAATGAAATTAAGAAAGAAAACTAACAATATTGATGCATAGAAAATTGCCAGAATATACATTAGTGCGTGGCAAGTAAGTAGATATTTGGTATCTTTTTCTTAAAGATAACACATAGTACACATCCTCGAGTCCGTGTGCCTAAGATTTCATTTCTAAAAAATATTGATTACTCAATCATAAAATAATATATAATTTGTAGTGTCTATCAAATTAATTAAATTAAATGCTCCAACCTTATTACACTTGTCTTAATCTTTATTTTTTAAATATTTTTTTGTTTCTTAACACGTCTTTATCTTTTATTGTGTTTACTTATTGAAAAATGAAAAGAACAAAGTATTAGCTTTCTCAATTGCAATGTCAAACATTTGACATTGCAATTGATGGAATTCAACTATATAAGGCAAAGGTCACCAAAAACAAAAACAAAACAAAAAAGTGAGAAATAAATTATATAATCAAATGGTCATCAGAAAGAGGAACACTCCTAATGATATTAACATTGCGAGTTACCGACTAGGGTTATGCTGGAGTAGTAAGTACTCCTTCATCCTTAACTAAAGGTCTCGGGTTCGAGCCTTGGATATGGAGTCGCCTTTGTCACGGAACACTTTACCCCCAATGTGAAAATTTTCGGCGCGAATTCGAATTTAATTGAATCCCAATGCGGATACCAGACATCAAATGGGAAACCAAAAAAACATTGCGAGTTAATCAAAGTACTAAGCACTTCATCAAAGTGATGTCTGTATTTAGGAGATTCAAAAATTTATATATGTATACATATAAAAATACTTTCCACCTATAAAAAGATTAAAGCGATATTAGATTCTTTGATTAACAAAGAACAAAGTATAGATAAACGTGAAATATTGTCAAAATCCATTATCGTTTTTTCTTATGCCAATGAAAAAATCATCAATATTACATGATAGTGACAATCAAATTCTAACATAACTTTTCTATCTCAAGGGGCCCACTGATTAACGAGGTGGGCTGAAAACTAAGAGGTCTCAAGTTTAATTTTAGCGGAGGCAAAATTAAGTGATTTCTTTCCATTAGACTAA